TATTGTATTTAGTTATGGAGATTACGAGTGGTTGTCTTTTGATTTTTTATGAATACCGAACTACTTGGCTGCATGCTTACGTTCCACGCACAACGGCTGGCTATGTTTGAGCGTGTATATGCCGGTTCACAATTCCCCTACAGTTACTTTGCTGGATGCTCTATAGGCGTGCTTGCTGTGGTTAAAGGTACTCACTTCATACGGGCTTTTCTATCCACAGTTTGAGAAGCTAAAGCAAATACAAGTACCGAAGAAGGGGGAGGACGGCAAAGACGACAAGGAAGACAAAATAGACAATCGAAGGGATCGAGGGGCTCGGTACAAGGCCAAAGTAGAGGTGCGTAGCCAAGTCACGTGGTTTTGTGTGTATGCGTGATATCTTTGACACGTACTGTTGTTTGTACCCCCACTTCTTCGTGCATGGATGATCAATATCTGTCGTTGCGACAGATGGCTTGACTTGGGGTCGTCTGCCTGTGTTTTTGTGCATGTGATGGTTTGGTGTATACTAAGGCGTGCCGATGGGGGTGCTAGTCTGAACGACAGAGCGAGAACCTCTTAGCCTGAGTGAGTGTGGGCTGGTGTGTGCATGGACACCCACAGTGTGTGTTAACGCAACTGCAAGTGGAGAGTGTGTAAGCCACCGTACGCCCAGTAGCTCAATGTGTTCTGTGCACACCAAATTGGCCTGTGATCTCGCCTGTGTCTGATTTCTGGACGTTGTCAAGAATTGCCGGCCCAGGTTTGTACCAGTTCGGTACATCCAAGTGTCGGGTACTCGCTCAAAGCCACCTTTATCATCTGCCCTTTAAATGACAGAAAGAGAACAGGATAAACCAGAGCGAGGCGTGGAATCACCTGTCTAACTGCTCAATAGTATTCAATCTGAGCAACGATCCGGTGCTCAAGTATACTACGGCGCTTGTGGAAGATAGGGGTGTGTCCGTCCAAGCATTCACAAGCACGCGGCTGCAGAAGGAAACTCTGTATGTGGAAACCCTGACAAGAAGGTTTCAGATAAGCTGTTCACAGAAGGAGGATGTCGAGGGCGATAATAGATTCTTTACGGTATGCGTTATGAGGATGTTCTCTCGGGTATAGTATACATGTCTACACACAAACACACACACACACACAAACACACACACACATATATATAATATATATTAATATATATATATATATAGAGAGATATAGATATAGATATATATAG